GGCAGGCGGGAATCGAACTCATACGGAAGTGGCTTCAGATTCTCAGTGCTGTGCTTTAACCCGCTGCGCCACCAGGGAGGGCCCAGAAAAAAATCTTTTTATTGGAGAAACTTATCTTAAGGCAGGAAAAACATCTAGAGACAAGGTTTTGTCCTCTGAAGCCACCCTTCCCCCTTGTATGTCAGGTCCCTCCCATGTCTTAGCTCAGGAGATAAACCCTCAGCCTACCTCATTTAGTCTAGGGTATAAAATTATGTATGTTCTACAGATATAAAATTAAATTTGATCCTTTTCTCCTACTAATCTTTTTGATGTTAATCTACTTGTGCAACCTGCCTAAGAAGAACCCAGAAAGCTGGGGAAATCCTCCCGTGTGTCCCTGCCATTAGAAAATAGTGCACTGTTCAGATGTCCTCTAATGAAGTTGGTCAACAGTTAACCTGCTTGTATTGTTTGCATCTAGGTATCTCAAAATGTTAAAAGGCAAACTGTATTTTTATTATGTTAAATGTAATTAAGATAAAAAGAAAGTTGCCAGGGCCCTCCCTGGGGTTGCAGTGGGAAGGAGAAGCTATATCAGCTTCTGCAGCTTCTGAGAAGCTATATTAGCTTCTGCAGCATGAGTTTGATCCCCGGCCAAGGAGCGGACCCACATGGCACAGCAGACCTCTCCTGGCGCACCCACTGCTCCCCTCTGCAGTGTATTTTAGTAGATACTCCTGTTCTGTCCCCCCAACTCTGTTTCTGGTGGATCCTCTCACCCGTCCCCCCCCACCTTTGTCTTGTACCCCGTCCTCATAAATGAATAAATCTTAAGAAAAAAAAGTTGTCAGGGTCGGGCACCAGTCCAACACAGGCACACGGAAGGAGCAGCTGCTTCAAACAGAAGCAGACACTCCAGAGCGATAAGCATCTGACTTGCTTGTCGCCACCTTGTCTGTCACCACCAGTTAACGCCCAGGCAGAAAAATGAGCTCCAGTTCCTTGTCCAAATTTTCCACCCAGCTGTTTCTCCCACTAGCGAGGCCTATAAAAACTCCTCTTATTCCTCCCTCAGCGCGACTCTGCCACCCCTGGGTTCAGAGCCTCATCCGGCCACTGGCCCTGAATAAAACTTCTCTTCTCTGAGACCATGTATGTGGTTCTCGGCGACCTTTCAAAAGTAACAAAACCGGAGCGGATGAAGTGGACACCATAAACGTCATGATCTTGTGTCTTTCTGAGACAGGAATGAAAACAGGGTTTAGGGTTGTGCTGGTTGCTCTGGTAGTAAAATGATCACCTAAAGGAATTTGCTGAGTTCCTCTTGTTAGGAAATAAGAAAGCATTTTACTTAAAGGCAATGCATTTCATTCAGTAGTGTTACTGAAGCTATATTTTATGAAATCCAGTAGTTTCAAAGAATGCATTCTAAAGTTAAAATGGAATTGAAAAACAGTCGCATAGAGTGGCAGGCCTCTCTCCGGATGCATCTTGGGACCCCGGCCTTGGAAAAACAGCCTTCTTCCTGTGCCCTCAGAGCAGAATTCCTTCAGCTGATGGGACTCAGTCTACCAAGGGCTGTGCTTTCTAAGGTAGAAGTATCTGAATAAGTAGGCTAAGTATGTGACAGGCAGGCAGATGGGTGTGTTTGACAGATGTAGAGATATCTCAAGCGGCACAGGGGTAAACCCAGATACATCATCTCGAGCAAATGTTGGGGCAACCTGAGGCAGCTGAGCCCTGCATTCCCTGAGGGCTCCGGGCTGGGCACAGAATGTGCCTGCCAGGATGAGGGTCCTGTCTCTGCCTCCTGATGTTAGGACATGTGTACAGTGGGGTGGTCTGAGCTCCATCCCCATGTGAGCCCGAGCAAGGGGCTGCTGGGAAGGGGTAGGAGCAGAGTGGTCATTTTGAGGGGAGTCTTTAAAAGGGAGCTGGGTATGTGGACTGGCTCTTTTTCATTGGAAGTACTGCAGAAAGCAGCAGGTTCCCCTGCCCCCGCAAATAGGCGAGCCCCTCCACCCCCCCAACAGCAGCAGTAGGCCTCTACACATTTATGGTGGCCAGCAGCCACACCAAGAACCTGTGAGCGAGGCAGCAGGAATGGTGACAACAAATGAAGTGTACATGACAAGTAACGCAACAAATCAAGATGGTCACAAAGTGAGGTGATTATTTTCAGTCTGAATCCTGAAACCTGGGCACACCTGTCTCTCCCCCCAGGCACTCACCTTGAAGAGCACACACTGCTGTTCCTCCAGTCTGTCCTCAAGGTATTTGGGAACTCTTTGGGGTGAGGGATGGTTTTTCAGAGTTTTATGCGTGGTGATAAACCTTCGTCCTTTAAGAAAGGGTTTATTTCCTGGTAAAAAGAAAAGGAAATTCAGGAGCCAGCTGGATAGAGAAGGCGGTGAGTTCAATTGCCTAATACACTTTTGCATCTAAAGTCAAGGGTAAAAGAGAGTAATGTTGGCATCTAGTGTATAAACCAAGAATTGTTCCGATCTGCACCATCTCTTCACACAGCGGCCACTTCCCCCAGCTGGTCCCATTGGGAATCTGTTTTCAAATTAATTTGTCTGGTAAGGTCAGTCTGAAATGGGATGTTGTATATTTAATAATCTTGTCTTGTAATCTTATGAATCTATCTTGCATGGTGGTACATTTCCCCCCAAAAGTACAACATATAAAATTCTACAAATGTAAATGATCTCTTTTGAACTGAACACCTAAGTCCAGGACAGAAAGTAAACCATAAAGTTATTTAATAATTGTGCCACTAAAATGAAAGCCTTATGCTCCATTCCATCCCCATGTGTGTGCTGTTAGTAATGTCAATGGCAACTGAAAAGCTGGTTCTACACACAAGGACATAGGTGTGGGTTCATAGTATCCCACCATTGTATATTCATTTTGTTTATTCAACTGACATCAGCACTTATGAGCACTTATGCAGTGCTCACCTTTTAAATCAAGTGGAGGGTGCAATTACCTATACCAGAAAAGTGTTAAGCAGAAGTAAGAAGTCTGCTCATAATATGAGGCCAAAAGAAAGGTTAATCAGCAACTGTGGGCTCTCATTGTGAACGCTGAATTAAACTAGAATTAAAAAATGCCAGCATGAATGATTTTCTTGCAAGTCCTAGAATGTTTTACAGAAATCACAAATCCCTTTATTTATTTACAAAACAAATCTTGAAGGCAAACAGTGAAAAAGACTTCAATACTACCCTCTTCTACTTTCTGACGTGGAGGAGAATGAAATTTCAGAATGAAATTATTTCATTCTAAAACTATGTGTGTGAAGACTGCATCATGATAGATGGTTAAACAGAGTGATCTTGGGTGCTTGTGATGGGTGGGAATAGCAAGGTGGGTAGTGGGTGGGTTGGGGTAGATGGGGGAGTTATGATCTGAATGTGTCCTTCCCACATTGAAATCCTAACCCCCAAAGACATGGTATTTGGAGGTGGGGCTTTTGGGAGGTGCTTAAGTCACTGTGGTGGGTTCCTCACCAATAGGATTAGTACCTTGTGAAAGAGGCTCCAGAGAGATCTCTAGTCCTTTCCTCCATGTGAGGATAGAGCAAGGAGGCACCCATATCAACCAGAAAGTCATTTTTCACCAGAATGTGACATATTGACAACAAGGTTTTGAATTTCTAGGCTTAGAACTGTCAGATTTGGTCTTTGGTTGCATCTGGTCCAGGTGTGACAGGGCCCGAGAGGAGATGGTATGTGGCTAACACAGTCACACCCTCCAGCTGGAGGAGCCGTCTCCTGGGAAAGGCAACTGGTGAAGGCGTCACCTCTGAGGAATTCACTTTGAGTAACAGGTTGCAGATAGAATGGCTGAGATTACCCTAGCTGGCTAAAGCCCCTGGTAGAGAGGCATTCTATCTCAGGCAGCAAGAATGCAAACACCTCAGGGTCCAGAAGAGGCCCTCAGAAATGAAAAGTCACCACCGCACTCCAAGATTCAGGTCACAGGTAGAGGGACCAGGACGTCAGTGCACACTGTCCCTAAGAAGCCCCCACTAAAACCTAGTCATTGAAGTAGCTCATGCCACTGGTCAGTCCCTCTGGGTCAGTCATGCGAAAGCAGATGGCCTTTGCAGGGACACAGCAGGAACACTGAATGATGCCTTCTGTCACCCTAGTTTGGTAAGTACTCACTTAAGTCATCCATGAGTCCTTGGAAACTGTGATTTCATGAATGAATGGTGTATAACAAAAACAATTTTACCATAGTTACTTGATAGAATCAAGAATTATGTTTCTTTGGTATATTTCTGGTCACACACACACACAATCACTAAACTTTTAAATTCAGACACCCAACACTTGTAATACCAGATGATATTTTATACGTTCATTTCATTCATTCATTCATCTTTTAACCCACTTATTTTAGCTCAGGAACTGCAATGGCTGAAGCCTGCCCTGGCAGCAAGAGTCAAGGTGGGCACTACCTCTAGACTTGTTTCTGGGAGGCTCATATTGATCAGGGAACCACAAACTGACACCATGCAAAACTGACAGCTGCCAAGGAACCCCAACCTGTTAAGAGGGAAAACCCCATGTTCCCTGTTCCACCGCCCCATGCCACCCCACACATAAGGGCAAAGAAAGCGACTTTGAGAAGTTCACAGGCAGGGGGTGGGTGTGGTGAGATGGAGAGAGAAAGGGAGAGAGAGAAGCTCGGAAACAGCAGACATACAATTCAAGTGAAATCACACTTCCCCTGTGCGCAAATGCTCAGTTGATCACACAGGGAAAAGGCCCAATAATGAAGTCACCAGAACAAGGTACTTCACACACTGGCAGGAGCTACAGCAACCTGGGTACCAGAGCTATCCTGGGAGGCCTGTCAGGGGCACGGCAGCGCGGGCTGGCAGAGTGGCGCCCATCTTGGTGACCAGGGCTACGCTCCAGTAACACTGCAGGGCACACTCACCACACTCACACTCACTCTAGCAGGACGACTGAGCAACCAACCTGACGAACCTGACGTGAGCATGTTTGTGAGGTGGGAGGCAACCAGAGTCTCTGAGCAAACTCACAGACACGGGGTGGTGGGGGTTGAAATGCCAACTACACAGATAGTGGTCTTGCTGGGGACGGACGTCTTCCCCTCATTAGCATTAGAACAGAAGGACCCTGAATGAAATGACACTATTCGAGGCCTTGCTGTGTGCACACTCCAATGGTAGGTGGAGCCCGGCTGCCGTGTTCTGAAGTGCTGTCTAGGTCTAGCCAGGGTTCCGGAAGAATTGTCTGCATCTTGTCTGTGGGGAGGGTCGGGTGGCAAGGACGTTCTGCGTGGGCTGGCTGTGGCCACATCTAAGCGCAGCCCTGACAGCGAGATGCCATCACGAATATTCTGAAAACCTAGAAAAGAAAAAGGTTAGAAGGAAAGGAGACTCTCAGAGGCATATAATGCCACCTTTCTCTTTCATAAATGTTTATTATTATTATTATTGTTAAAGAGGCACATTGCAGAGCATCCTATAAATATAGCCAAGTAGGGAGGGAGAGCAAAAGTAACTTAAAGTTCCTCAAGAACTCTGGACACCATTAGAGCCAGTTCTGGTTCCTGGGCCTGCTGGGGGTGCCCTCACCCCATGTGCTGGCTTCTCCAGCCCGATTCCGCCTCGCACTTGTCCACAGGGCTCTGGTCTCTCCCACTTACCCTCTGATCTCAGCAGAAGTCTTACAAATCTCTGCCTGTAAAAGACTCATCTCCATCTTTCCATTGCACTCCACATTATAATCATGATTTCAAAAGAAGAAAAATGTTTATATTTCATAATTGCTTGTGTTTCTTGAAACATCATGACCCGTTAGGCAGTGCACAAATGTTTTAGATTCTTTTTCATGACATACATTAATTCACTCAACAGAGGGAGCTCATGCTTTAATTTTGGAAGTTGGACAGATGACAAAAAACCCAATAGTTTGTGACTGACTTTAAGTAAATTTCCTTTTAGTACTTCGTGGAACTAAGACCATGTGATTAGGAATAGCTTGATTTTCCTCTACATACATAGATGTGATTGATGAATTTGGGGCAGAATTTTTTTTTCAGTGAGACTGTCTTGCTTACAAAACAAGTTAACTTAGTAGAATAGGTGCCCCACTCAGGAGTCTAAAGAGTCATCAAGAAAGAAGAAAGAAACCATCTATACTTCCACCTATCTTTGCTTTTCTTCTTTGTATCGCATTGTGAACTCAGGATATAACTTGTTGACTTGTTTTCACATGACCCTGATTTGATATTGAACACTTGATATTGCAGAGAGAGGTCCCTGCCCTTTGGGATTATAAAACACGATTTATTTAGACTTCAGAGGATGTTTTTTACAACACGATTGAAGTTCAAAAACGCAGTAAATGAAATTGAGAGAATGAATGAATCTCTCAGATAAAGAGGCAGAACAAGGAAGATGACTCAGTGGTACTGAAGCCATAGTGAAATCAGCACCACTAACAGATGGAGGTTTTTGTGTGTAAACTACAACTTCCTAGTTAACCTTTGATAATGGCAGCAAAGGGTGTGTTAGCTAGAGGTTTCTATAGTATCACCCATGTCATTATTGTACGTATCTAATTACTCTGTTGTGCTAAGATACCAACATTTTTTTAAAACCTCAATTTTCCCTTACTGTCAAAGTCAGTTTTGTTAACAGAAAATACAGGAAAAGGTGTAAAGAAAGCATAAAATAAAGGTTATTGTACTGTGTGCTTGCAACTTTTTATCTAGTTTTAAAATTCATGTTTGAGGCACTTTAAATGGGTGCTTATTTTTTGTCTTTTCATTCCTTCAAACCCCCAAATTCTTCTATTTAACAATTTAAAAATCACTATAATTAGGCAAGTTCCCAGAGTACAATTTTGAAAGCATTCCTCAGAGTGCAGGGGAAGATGATACTGATTATAAGGAAAAATATTCATGTCTAATATCAGACTTATTATTTTGCTGTAAATCTTCTTTTTACACATGTGTTTTTCCCATCGCACTACAAGATCTTCAGGCAGAAACCACGTTTCTTCGCAATTACCTTTCCAACATGTAGCCCAGCACCTGGCATAGGGTAGCTTTATAGCTAATAATAAAAGTGATTTCATCCTACATACCTTACACAGATTACTACTAATTGCAGAATTGAGAGGGAGGGTCCTCTGGTGATACAAGGTGGGTTAAATCTCTGCACTATGAAGTATCTGCAGCCACTGCAGTCCCCAGCCAGGGAGCTGACCCACAAGGGGCAGCAGACCTCTCCTGTCTCTCCCGCTGCTCCCCTCAACAGTGTACTTCAGTTGATACCCCTTTTCTGCTCCCCGCTCTGTTTCTGGGGAAGCCTCTCACACCCCCTGGCTGTAACTCTGCCCTGTACTCCAGCTCTTGTATTCATAAGCAAATAAATCTTTTTTTAAAAAAAGAATTCAGGGCTCTCCCTGGTGGTGCAACAGGTTAAATTATGAAGCTCTTTGAAGCCACTGCAGCATGAGTTCAACCCCTGACCAGAGAGCTGACCCATATGACGTGGCAGACCTCTCCTGCCTGACCTGCCCACTGCTCCCCTCGGCAGTGTAATTTGTCAATCTGCCTGTTCTGCTCCCCATTCTGTCTCTAGTGAACCACCTGAGCACCGCTGCCTGTAACCCAGTTATGTAAGCATAAGTAAATCTTTTATTTTTTTAAAGATTTATTTATTTATTCATATGGAACTGGGGTACAAGCCAGAGATGTGGAGGGTGAGAGGCTTCACCAGAGACAGAGTGCGGTGCAGAACAGGCAGATCAACGAAGTACACTGCTGAGGGGAGCAGCGGGCGGGTCAGGAGAGGTCTGCCACGCCATGTGGTCACCTCCGGGGCAGGCGGGGATCGAACTCATGCGGAAGTGGCTTTAGCTTCTCAGTGCTGTGCTTTAACCCACTGCGCCACCAGGGAGGGCCCAATAAATAAATCTTTAAAAAAAAAAATAAAGAATTCAGAGGTAAACTATGGGGGAAAAAATACATGCTTCTTGTTGGTTACTTTTGGGACAGTAACTGAAATTGTTTCTGCTGAGTTGGAGAAGAAAACACTGAAAGAATACTGGGTGAGGGCCCTCCCTGGTAGCACAATAGGTTAGGACACAGCACTGCAAGCTTCTGCAGCCACTTCAGTGTGGGATGGATCCCCCGCCCTGGAGGTGAGCCACTTGGCACCGCAGACCTCTCCTGACCTATCTGGGGAGGTCTGCTCTCCTCAGCAGTGTACTTCATCAGTCTGCCTGGTCTGCTCCCCAATCTGTCTTTGGTGAATCCTCTTACTTCCCCTGTACCTTTGGCTTGTACTCCAGTTCTGTATGCATAATAAATCTTAAAAAAAAAAGTTCTGTAACATAATAAATCTTAAAAAAGAAAAAGAATACTGGGTGACGGTTTGGCCTGTGAAAATGCCCTGGGCTTTCTAGTAGAGAAAGTGGTAGCTGTTCTCAGACACTTCCAGAGCAAAGAAACACGAAGATACAAACTCCTTGAATAACAGAGGTAGTCAGAGATAGTTGAATGAGCTTCCTGGATGAACAAAAAAACTTATGTTGAGTTTCAGATATGTGCACAAAACTGAGTCTCGAAAGAAAGCACAATCTTTTCCAGCGTTTTCTAAATCTGGGAGCTATTTTTTTCAAAAGACCAGATATAGGTCATCATTACACTGTAAAATACAACATCCTCCACCCACATGATCCTGTGATTTGGTTAGAGTGCAATAGCTTTGGCCTTCTTTAGCTGAACCATCCACAACAGAAGGCCCTTAATATAAGAAATGAGAACACAGCTGTGTTAGAGATTATAAGTAATTCAAAAATCCTTGCAGGAGAGATGATAAATGGAAGGAAAACTTCTTTAACCGTCATATCAGACCCAAAAAAGAAGAATAATTATCATTTACGGGCAAGATTTCAGGTAGATTTTGTGTTGCAATAAAATAATAATAAAAACAATTATTATAGGCCTGCTAAACAAAGCAAAATAGAATGATGACAAATTAGCTTGTTCTCCTCACCAATCTCTCCCATATTTGAGATGAGTTACGCTGACCCAAGTAGTAAATCCACTTGCAGATTTCTTCACTCTGAAACCTGAGCAAAACATCTGTTTGACTATTTAAAGATGTTGAAGAGAAGGGAAATTTTAACCTCAGAAAAATCTAGCTGTATTCCAAGTTGGAATGAGAGGATTAGGAACCCAAAATATGAACTCTATAAGAAGTTGTTAATAGTGGGGCAAAGGTGTGAACCTGAATCAGCAGGGAAGTATTTTGATTTGTGAATAGATGCTACAATTCATATTTTCCAGTAATTTCAGTTACTTACTGCCGAGGTGTCCCTATACTTGAAGAGCTTTGGGGTACTTCACTTACAGGTCCAGAAGGTCATTTAGGGTCCCTAGTGTGATCCAGTTAATCCTTTCCCCAGGAAAAGTTAGAAGTTTCTTTTAGGAATCTGCTGTCACTCTTGATGGTAGAAAAATGCAGACATCAACAGCGTATGCATAGACTTCGTTACAGCTCACAAACCGAACAAGGATGATTGAAACTGGCCATGGATAACAAAACAAAGACAGATACTGAGAGAATAGAGACCTAATTAATTCAGAATTAAATTCATTGCTATGCATATTTATATTTCCATCTCTTCCAGCTTAAAAAACAAAAACAAAAAACAACTAAGTGGATTTTAATTAAATCTTAACTTACAAACAAACAAGAATCTTATGTGCCAGCAATGAGATTTCTAATGTCAAATTCTCAACTGAAGAAGTAATTGTTGGCTAAGTTATAAATGATAATAGAACATCAACATGGGGGGTGCGGGGGTGGTGGTGGTGTGCTGTTTAGTATTAGGTAAGCTTGTCGAGTGGAAAAACACTGAGTACTCTGGGAAACAGGAGGTCCTGGTTCCAAGCCCAGCCTGGCCACCTCGCTGTCAGGGCAATCAGGAAAACCCAGACCTCAGCAGGCCTGGCCTTGCTTCAGCTGCCAGTCAGGGATTTGGTCAGAACTCCTTTTGGCCCTCACAAGGCTGGCTATTAGGTTAAACAGCAGAAATATGGCAAAAGTATCCAATGTTAGACTTTGTAAAGTCAGTGGGGATCTTCTCATCCACTATTGTTGCTTCCCAAGCGAGGGGGACAGATTTCACAGTGAAAGTTGAAAATTGAACTTTTCTCAATTATCAGAAGTAATTAAAGAGCAGAAGTTCCATCAATTTTTTCTTCCATCCATTTTTCCAAAGCCAATGGTGCTTCATAATGGATAGCTGACAACAGGGTAGAATGAACAACTAGAAAATAAACATGAGGGTAACTTGCGAATAACTGACCATGTTTCATGGGAGAC